ACTCAGTGTGCACCCTCCTATCACTCCGGCCGGCCGGCCACCGCGACCGGAGTGCAGCTCGGCCACGCTACAGGGGAGGGGAGGGGAGAAGCTGCAGCCGCCTGGGGCTCTTAACAGAGCGCTCAGGCGGCTGCAGTATTTAAAGGGCCGGCCCGCCGCGGCCGGCCTTACAGGAATTTAGGGCGGCCTGGGGGGCAATTGCCTCCCTGCCCCCCGGCCCAGCCCGCCCCTGCAAGTTATCCAACCAATCCATTGGTAATTAAAGGAACACTATAGTGTTAAAAAAACTATTTTACCAGGCTGCCTACAACTTAAAAAGAATGAAAACTTACCTTATTTCCTGCACCGCGCGGGTCTGCCATGGCTGGCTCCACCCCTACTCTGCCTCCATGACTGAAATAATCAAAATTGGCAATCTCAGCCAATCCAATGCTCTGCCATAGGAAAGTATTGAGGGACTAGTGCACACACGCAGCAAAATGCGGTGGTGCACCAATCAACATCTCCTCATAGAGATGCATTGAATCAAGGCATCTCTATGGTGAGTTTGAATGACTGCCACTGTAGTTGTTCTGATGACTATAGTGTCCCTTTAAATGCTTTCCCAGACCATATATCTCACTGTTTTGATTATAATGATGAGACTACAAGTGCACTTTTGCAGCCCTCATACAATTCCTATGAAAAATATACATACTCCCATGCGTAAAACATTGCTTGTTCACATGCGCTTCATCAGACACATCGAGAACCCAACCCATCGAGAACCTAACCCATCAAACACATTTATCTCCAGTCCCCATACAGTCAATTCCACCACATAAGACACATATAGAAATCCCATTAATTATACAGCATACACATATGTAACCCTTTACTTACCCAGGTTCGGTGAAGGTGGCGCAGGCTGGATAGTTACACATGCAGCTTTGTAGGAATCATCCAAGTCTCCGATGGAGCAGGGAGTCTCTGACATCTTGATTAAATAAATGTACAGGGTCTCCACTCAGTGATTTTATACTTCTCGGGGAAACCACACCCTGGAACAATAAATAGACAGCCAACATATACTCAAATGTGAATAAAATGCAATACAATAAAATAACAATATCTTCAATAACCTTCTAATGCACCATTAATAAGAGTGAAAAAAAATAGTTATAAAAGTAACATAATAATAAAATTGACATATTGTTCCCCACTTTGCAGGACACAATTTTTCCAACTGAACTGCAAAACTGTACGTTTTGTTCAGTTTTCTTGTTGATGGTTCAGATTTTGGTCCCTTGTGAGCTGAATTCCCCTGTATAATGATCTGTACAAGTCCTGATCCCATGACCTCTATTCATTCACTACACAATCACTGCTCACAGAGCAGGGTAGATGATACTGGCACACTGGATGCAGGATCCTAAATAAAAACACAGAAACACTGTAATCCATCCAAACATACAGTCCAGAGGCCATCAAATGAGGTCACATTTCAAAGGGTACCGGTCATGGTATCTACAACCTATCTACAACCCTCCCTGCTCGGAAGGCAAGTTGTTGGGTGTAAGCAGGAGCAACAATTACACTGTTCTCCCGCGCACCAGGTATACAGGCACACCCTGAACAACATTAACAGGGCAGCGCAGTGGCGCAGCATCCACGAGCTTCCGTTCCTGTGCGACATGACAAGAAACAAAAGGAATGAAAGCATGGCAGCAGGTGCCACGTTGATTGAAATGGCCTGCTTTCAATGTCTTCAGTATGTGAGGAACGAGAGAGGGCTATTTGCTGTGTGTGTTTATATGTATTTATCAGTTTATGTGTGTGTGTATTTAGCAGTCTGTGCGTGTATATTTATCAGTCGTGTGTGTGTGTGTGTGTGTGTGCATTTATCAATCTGTGTGTGTGTGTGTAAACAGCAATCTGTTCATGTATATTTATCAATCTGTGTGTGTATATTTATCAATCTGTGTGTGTGTATTTAGCAATCTGTGTGTGTATTTAGCAGTTTGTGCATGTATATTTATCAATCTGTGTGTGTGTGTGTGTGTGTGTGTATTTAGCAGGCTGTGCGTGTATATTTAGCAATCTGTGTGTGTGTGTGTGTATTTAGCTGCATGTATGTATTTAGTAGTGTGTGTTTGGCAGTGTGTGTGTCTGTGTATGTATCAGGCAGTTTGTGTGTCTGTGTATGTATTAGGTAGTGTGTATGTATCAGGCTGTTTGTGTGTCTGTGTATTTATTATTATTATCGCCAACAGATACCGTAGCGCTTTACAATATTATGAGAGGGGGATTTAACTATAAATAGGACAATGACAAGAAACCTTACAGGAACGCTAGGTTGAAGAAGACCCTGCTCAAACGAGCTAACAGTCTATAGGAGGTGGAGTGTAAAACACATTAGGACAGGAAATAGCAATAAAATAAGGTGGGAGTGAAGCAGAATTGGAGGAAAGAGTAGAGTGCTGCCCTTTAGGAGAGAGCAAGAGACAGGTATGTGAAGTAGAGGTTACTCTGGGAGGCCATAAGGTTTCCTAAAGAGATGGGTTTAAAGGCACTTCTTAAACTATTAAAGACTAGGGGAGAGTCTGATGGCGGTAAGCAGGCTATTCCATAGGAAGGGAGGCGCCCGCGAGAAGTCCTGCAAGCGTAGTTGGCCATACGGGTGCTAACAATGGACAGGAGAAGGTCACGGGCAGAGCGGAGGGACCGAGAAGGGGCATATCTATGGATTAGTGAAGAGATATAAGAGGGGCTAGAATTATTCAATGCTCTATAGGTGTGAATTAGTACCTTGAATTGCCTCCTATAGGATACAGGAAGCCAATGTAAGGACTGACAGAGGGGTGAGGTGTAAGAGAACCGACTAGAGAGGAAAATCAGTCTGGCAGCAGCATTCATTACAGACTGTAGCGGGGCAATACGGCTTTTGGGAAAACCAATCAGGAGAGGGTTACAATAATCCCAATAATCCATGCGGGAATTTACTAGAGCACGGACAAGCTCCTTGGTAGCATCTTGCCTAAGAAAGGGGCGAGTGCAGGCTATGTTTTTAAGATTGAATCTACAGGATTTGGCAACATACTGGATGTGAGGTTCAAAGGTGAGGCCAGAATCAAGTATGACCCCAAGACAGCGAGCTTGCAAGGATGGACTTATGTGGATACCACTAACTTGAAGGGAGAGTGAAAGAGGAGGATTAGTATTAGGAGGAGGAAAGACAAGGAGCTCAGTGTTAGAGAGATTGAGTTTCAGAAAGCGGGAGGACATCCAGTCAGAGATAGAAGAAAGGCAAGCAGTGACACACTGCAGGACGGCAGGAGAGAGGTCCAGGGAGGAGAGATATATCTGGGTGTCATCAGCTTACAGGTGGTAGTGGAATCCAAAAGAGGTAATAAGTGTATGTGTTAGGTAGTGTTTAAGTATCAGCCAGTTTGTGTGTCTGTGTATGTATTAGGTAATGTGTATGTATTAGGCAGTTTGTGTGTCTGTGTATGTATTGGATAGTGTTTAAATATCAGGCAGTTTGTGTGTCTGTGTATTAGGTAGTGTATATGTATCGGGCAGTTTGTGTGTCTGTGTATATATTAGGTAATGTGTATGTATCAGGCAGTTTGTGTGTCTGTGAATGTATTAGGTAGAGTGCATGTATCAAGCAGTTTGTGTGTCTGCGTATGTATTAGTTAGTGTGTATGTATCAGGCAGTATGTGTGTCTGCGTATGTATTAGGTATTGTGTATGTATCAGGCAGTATGTTTGTCTGTGTATGTATTAGGTAGTGTGTATGTATTAGGTAGTTTATGTGTGTGTGTATTAGGTAATGTGTATGTATCAGGCAGTTTGTGTGTCTGTGAATGTATTAGGTAGAGTGTATGTATCAAGCAGTTTGTGTGTCTGCGTATGTATTAGGTAGTGTGTATGTATCAGGCAGTATGTGTGTCTGCGTATGTATTATGTAGTGTGTATGTATCAGGCAGTATGTGTGTCTGTGTGTATTAGGTAGTGTGTATGTATCAAGTAGTTTATGTGTGTGTGTGTGTGTATTCAGAGGCAAAGAACAGAGGGGATAGAGGGAGACAAATGTGTACCAGCAGCACTTCTTGACAAGTGTCTGCTCTGCAAATATGCTGCGGAGCTGGTGCCGACGGATCTCTCTGCACAGCCATGTATTGATGCCAGGAGGTGGGATGTGATCTCATCCCAGAATCAGCATGGAGATGCATGAGGCTGTGCATTTAGTGCCCAACAAAATCCCAGTTGTTACAGTACATAACAAATCATCTGAACTTGACACAATTGGGTCTTACTGGTGCAACGGCTACAAACTTTCACAAAAGGGGAATCCAAGCAGTGGAAGAAGCCACACTGATGAAGCTTCTCCTGCCAACGTTCGAATTTCTCTTTTGGAAACATTTGTTGGTGTTGCAACAGCAGAGATTTCCTCCGTTGTTTGCAACTAAAGCAAACACCAGTGCTCTTTGATTAGCTCCCATGTTTTTGCTCTGATTTGTAAACTATAGCACTTACCTTCTCTGAATACATATGTGTGCACATTTAATATATTTACTTAGTTTTTTTAGTTGTATAATTTAGTAGTGGTAATTATCAGTGCCTCCTTCCCACCCAGTTTTGACTGTGGTATTTTATGTGCCCCCTTTATATAGTATTCCGAAAGTCGCTACTGCTTAAATGATGACAGTTCTTCAACAGCTGCTTACCAAAGCACAAATGCAGCTGCTTCTTGCGGTGGTATTGAGCTGGGGTTTCGCAGACTGTCAGGTCCTGAATGAAGCACTTGTCTCCAGCACAGTCATGCACCCAGCTCTCACGGGTTCCTGGGCAGCACTGACCTTTGCTATCTCACACAGGAACGTCTAATAAATGAAAGTATTAGCCTGATTGGCTCTCACATCCATGTGATGCAGGGTTGAAGCAAAAGATAGAGTTCATTTAACCCTGCAACAGAATAACATACATATATATTCTGTATATAATCAATGCAGAAGGAGTGGACTCACTGTGACTGGACTCTTTTCAAATGTATTCAGATGATTTTATTTCAACAGCATAGCACAGATTTTAACGTAAGGTGAAATCAACATTTCAGTCCCATAATGGGACTTTTATCAAAATATAACTTCCATTATGGAACGGAAACATTGATTTCACCTTATGTGAAACTCTGTGCAATGCCATGCCTCACAACTGTCCAGCTTTCAGTGGGACAATCCCGATTTTGGGGTGCTGTCTCGCTGCTTCGCTTTAGTTCCTTGGTTTCCTGCATCTAGGGAACTGTCCCCGGGCAGCACAGCACAAGCACATCATTAGACACGGTCACGTTGTGCAGCGGGCACTAGGACAATGCAGGGAGCACTTCAGCAGCACTCCCTGCATGGTCCTGATACCTGAGCATCCTCTGCATATATGTGGTTTACCAGATACCTGGAAACTAAAAGATGATATAAGGCTGCAAAGGTAAATAAAAAGTGCAGAGGGCCAAAGAATAATCTTTGTGGAACTCCAAGGGAAAGTGGAAATAATGAAGGCAAAGAAAGGACAAATTATTTTTCAATACAGCAGAGAGTTGGAGATCCACAAAATCAGAGGAATTCACCAGCAGTGTCATATTAGATGGGGAATAAATAGGCACCTCAAGATTGCCGTCAGGAATCTAGCAACTGGTCAGCACACACTCCAAAGGTCCATTTTCTCTGTAATCTATACTAACTATATCATACACATATTTGTATAGTGCACAAGGAACCATGCTGCATAAGGCTTGTTGTTGAGAAATCCCCTCTGCCTTTAGTCATCAGGTAATCATTAAGTGCATGTTCCAGAACATGTTCTTTTGCAAATAAATAAAAATCACCATATTAACCCCTTAAAAGGACACTGTAGGCACTGTATCTGCTTCATCTCATTAAACTGGTTATAGTGTCTGGAGTCCTCTGGTACCATCATTTTTTTCAGCATTAAACAGTTTTTAAATTGAGTCCCCGGCAATACATCCCCTCTGTGCTGCTTTGGCAAATAAGGAAGTATTAGCCTGAGCAGCAATAGGCAGCTGTGATTGGCTGAGAGTGTCAGCTGACTGCTTTTAGCCTGTCAGAGTTCCAACTGACGGTATGAATGGGTATGACAACAAGGAAGTGTGTAATCTCTGCCTTAGCTACACATACTGAAGGGGCTGGACTGTGGGTGGCCAGGGACTGTTATTTTGTGGCATACTGCATAAACATGGTGCAACACTAAATGGAGGGACAGTGCCAGGGCATTCCAGGCACTATAACCAATTCAAAGAGATGAAATGTTTATAGTGACTACAGTGTCCCTTTAAGGACTGAGCCAAATGTACACGTTTTGATAAAAATAAAAAGTAAACAAAACTTGGAATGTGACTATATGTCTGTTCAGCCGTAATTCACCTCTTTCATATTATGTGCACCCACACTTATTATATATCATTTTATTCAGGAGAAAAGAGGGCTTTCATTTAACATCAAATATTTAGCTATGAAAAATAATTTAATATGAATAAAATATAAAGAAATTAGGAAGTTTTGTTATTTTTTTAGTTCTGCATGACATTTTAACTGTGAATGTCATAATTCTGTTTGCTTTTACTGCAGTAAAATACACATATTTGTATTCAGCAAAGTCTCACGTGTAAAACCTTGCCCCCTATGTATAGGTTTTATGGTGTTTTGGAAAGTTGCAGGGTCAAATATAGCATGTTTGCATTTTTTCCATTTTTTTCACATTGAAATTTGCCCGCTTGGTTACGTTGCCTTTGAGACCGTATGGTAGCCCAGGAATCAGAATTACCCCCATGATGGCATACCATTTGCAATAGTAGACAACCCAAGGTATTGCAAATGGGGTATGTCCAGTCTTTTTTAGTAGCCACTTAGTCACAAACACTGGCCACAGTTAATGTTAATATTTGTTTGTGTGTGTAAAATGCAAAAAACTAATTTGAATGCCAATTTTGGCCAGTGTTTGTGACTAAGTGGCTATTAAAAAAGACTCTCTGAAACTGCTATGTTTACATGTGAAGGGTTAAAACCTGAGGGACCTGGCACCCAGACCACTTCATTGAGCGGAAGTGGTCTGTGTGACTTTAGTGTCCCTTTAAGGAAATAGTTTTAGGAAGAGTTGCAGGCCCGTTTGACGAAGTTCCGTTTGAATATTTTCGCATTTCACCTTTGTGTTTGGTACCAAAGAAGAAGAGTGGTGAATTCAGGCTTATACACCATTTGTCTTTCCCCAAGGGGGATTCGCTTCATGGCGAGATAGACATGGAACACTTTCCGGTCCGTTATGCGTCTTTTGACAACGCTATTGAATGGGCTTTGGCTTGCGGCAAAAATGCCTTAATGGCTAAAGTTGACATTGAGTCAGCATTTAGGCTATTACAAATGCATCCTGAAAGTTTTAACTCTCTAGGCTTTCGATTTGATGGGAAATTCTTCTTTGATAAATGTTTACCGATGGGCTGCTCCATATCTTGCTGTTATTTTGAATTGTTTGTATCTTTCTTGGAGTGGGTTATTAAATGTAAAACAGGTTTAGGATCAGTTGCCCACTATTTAGATGATTTTATCTTTATTGGTATAGAAGGCACGGATCAATGTTCAATGCTATTGCAGGCTTTTTGTTCAATAGCAGAGGAGTTTGGCATACCGCTAGCAAAGGATAAAACGGTGTTTCCTACAATATTGTTACAATTTTTAGGAATTGTGATAGACTCAAGTAAAATGGAATGCAGTTTACCAGTTGACAAAGTGCACAAAAGGTCCATTTTATTACGGCAGGTCCACGGAGCTAATACATTTTCAATTAAAACTTTTCAAAAAATGACAAGCCTACTGGCTTTTGCTGCCAGAGTTATACCAATGGGCAGAATATTCACGAGAAAAATGTCATTGGTCGTAGCGGGTAAGAATTTGCTATATCTGCATATTAGGGTAACCAAAGAAATAAAAGAAGATATTGAGGTCTGGTTGTAATTTTTAAGCAGTTTTAACAGTAACACTCTATGGCGGATAATTTGGATTTAGACTTTTACATTGATGCAGCGGGTAGTAATGGTTTTGAAATTTATTGGAATGGTAAGAGGGGAGTAGGGAGCTGGACGGAAGATTGGAAAAGGGCATATCCAAGGTCAATGGCGTACACACAACCCATGGGGCCCAGGTGCGAAAACTGATCCATGGGCCCCCCCCCTAGTCGCAGGGGTATGTACGCCAGTGCATGCAGATACACATACACTTAACCCCTTAAGGACACATGACATGTGACATGACATTTTATTCCAGAAGTTTGGTCCTTAAGGGGTTAAAGGACCACTACAGACACCCAGATCACATCAGCTCAATGAAGTGGTCTGGGTGCCAGGTCCCTCTAGTTTTAACCCTGCAGCTGAAAACATAGCAGTTTCAGAGAAACTACTATGTTTCACTGAGGGTTAATCCAGCCTCTAGTGGCTGTCTCATTGACAGCCGCTAGAGGAGCCTCCGCGATTCTCACTGTGAAAATCACAGTGAGAAGAGGCTGAACGTCCATAGGAAAGCATTGAGTACTGCTATCCTATGGGCGGTTTGAATGTGTGCGCGGCTCTTGCCGTGCATGCGTATTCGGAGCTGAGAGGCGGATTGGGGTCCGGCGCTGGAGAAAGGCAAGTGCTGAAGACACACACACACACTCTCACGAACAGACGCATAGCTAACAGACACACAGACACACTCTCACAAACAGACGCATACACACTAGCTAACAGACACACACATTTACTGACAGACATACACTCAGTGACAGACACACATACACACTCACTAACAGACACCAAACAGACTAACAGATGCACACAAACTAACACACTCAGTAACAGACACACACAGTAACACACTCACTGACACACTCTAACACACACACACACTCTAACACTAACACACTCTAACACACACACACGTTTTTAAAATTTTTAATCCCCCAGCCTTCTTACCTTTGGGAGTGCTGAGGGGATTCCCTGCAGTCCAGTGGTGTTGCTGGGTGGCCGGGCACCGGGCGGGCTGGCTGGCGCGCGAGGGAGCACTCTCCCCTAAGTGCTCCCTGTTCAGCTTGCTCACGCGCCACGTACTGATGCCGGAGCCGGAAGATGACGAGGGAGCTGAACAGGGAGCACTGAGGGTAGAGCCAGCCCGCCCGGTGACAAAAGGGCCAGCTTCGGTGTACTGGCGTACATACCGGGTCGCAGGGTGGCCGGGGCCACTGGTGGGCAGGGCCTGGTCGCAGCCGCGACCCCGGTATGTACGCCACTGTCCAAGGTAAGTTGAATGGCATTGCTGACGCCCTTTCTCATTCGCAGTTTACACTATTCAGAAGCCTGGCTCCAGAAGCAGAGGAGGAGCCGGTTGTGATTCCG